GAGGGAGGGAGGAGGGAGGGAAGGGTGGGCCAGGGCTCAGCAGTGGAAGGAGAAGAGAAGGTTGAGGGATTGCAGGGAGTTCAAGGAAAGGGGAAGGAAGCAGAGGGAAAGGTAGGGAGAGAAGAGGGTGAAGGGGGCACAGGGTGCAGAGAAGAGCTGCTTTCCTGATTTGGTGTGGAGGACAATAGCGGGAGAGGTGTGGGCAGCTTCAGCGTGCCAGCTAGGTGCTGGCTGCGAGTCCTAGGCCTTTCCACATGGGTTTCAGCAGAGCTGCTTTGCTGCCTTGGATTATCCAAGAATGGTCTCAGAGTAGGATGAAGCAGAAAAGGCAGGAGGAGAGATGCTACCCATGGATGGCACACTGACACGCTGTTGGTTCCTCTGCAGATCTGTGAACTAAAGCCAGAGCCCCAGCCAGGTGAGTGCTTGTCTTCAAAGTGGAATGTGGAGTGGGGGTGGGGGCTGGTTTGGGAAACAGGAAGTGTCCTTACAAGAAGAGCATTAGAAAGCCTTTCACAGCCGCTCTCATCTTTGACTTTCCCACCCACATTTTCTTATGTTCCATAAAAGTTCAGGCCCTTCACTTACTAAGAACATAGGATCTAATTACTGTCTCTGATTCTTTCCCAGAATGTTCCCCTTTTCCCTTTCTCTGGTATCCCCTTTCTCCTCTTTTCTTGGCCATTTCTCAGCTCTTCCTTCTGTTCATCGTTTTCTTTCCACCTTGGACATCGTCCTTCCCAAACATATTTCCCTTTTCCACATTTTTTACTCTTTCTTGCTCACTGTCCAATCTGCCTTTTCCCCTGGTGAGGTGCCCAAAGTGGCCACAGAATTGTCTGTCTCCAGCTGCTCTACCATCTGCCTTTTCTCAGAGCACCTTTGCCCCTCAGCTCCCAGCCTGGCCTCTCTCCTCAGTGCCGGGGGTCTCCTTCCTGTCCTGGGCACTGACCCTCAGCACCCTCCCACCGGTTTCCCTGTCTCCATCCTTCTTCCCCATTTTCCACACTCCCTTTCCTCAGTCCCCCTCCCTCCTTTTTCTCCCTCCCTGACTTTCCTCAGCTGCCCTCCTCAGGTCCCCTTCCAGGATGGTGTCTCCTCCTGGGGACCAAGGCCTGAGCACCACCCAGAGGCTGGGAGATGAGCTTCACTGGTATTTCTTCAGTTTTAACCGAGGCAGTGCCAGCAGAGAGGACAGGAGCTCACTCTTCCTATTTCTCCTCTGGTGCCCTCTTCCTACAAAAGAGGCTTCCCTAGAACAGTCCTCCTTCAGTTGGCACTCAGGGACCTCTCCTGGGCTACACCACAAATTGCCTCTCAGTTCCCAGGCAGCCTCCGTCTGAGAGCCTCAAACCATTGCCTATATCTTCTGAGTATGTCCAAGCAGGTCGCAGAGGCCCCTACAAGAGAACCAGCCTGATGCAGGTTTTAACTCTTTTCTGCCCAGCCTCTAACACAGTTCCCACCCTTTCCTTCCCATGCAGGGGATCCTTCCATAACACTGAGGAGAAGTATGAGAACATTGGGCATAAAGGTCAGTTCTACCACCATCACTCGCCACTCTCCACCTTGGCCTTTCCTTCTTCCCCGCCCACTCCCTCCTGCACATGTGCCCCTCAGCATTTCCCTCTTGCCCATGCCTCACCCATCCATCCCACCCTGGTCCTGACCTAGCAGATGACCTCACTGCTGAGCCCTCTGCCCATTTCTCTACCCTGGCTGCCATGCCACCTGACCCTGACACATCTTGATTTTTTTCCTAGGACAACATAGAGACTCCAAGCTGGACCCAAAGGTAAGCAGCTCAGACTAGAGCCTGAAAGAATTAAAGGGAAGCTTGGAGAAGTTGGGGTGGAAAGAATGAAGGGACTGTGGTATCAGCAGGGCACTCAGGTGTGGGATCACTGCTCTAAGATGAGGTCAGGTCCCCTCTACTTCTAACCCTCTTCTTTTTCTCTTCTCACCCAGGTTGATGGCATCCTCTATGCCTCCCTTGCCCTCTCCAGCCCAACCTCACCATCAGCACCTCCCAGCCACCATCTCCACAAGAACCCCCAGGAAGAGACCGTATACTCTATCCTAAAGGCCTAAGGAGTGTGACCGAATNGTACGGCTGAGTGAAGTAGAGGTCACTGGAGTTGGGGGGACAGGTATGTCCAGTGTGTTAGAGGATTGTCCCTGTAGATGATGAGACCTCCCAGGAGGGTGGTCAGTGGTGGAGACGATGTGTGTGAACCAGGGACCAAATGCGTAGGATGTGGAGGGGGGATAGTGCAGGGGGATGGGGAAGAACAAGAGTCCACAGTGGAAGAGAGGGACAAGCNGCAGAGGGACCACCACTTCCCATAATAATCCCAGCCAGACACAGATGACTCAGAAGCCAGCAGGTGTCAAAGGCCACCAAGGACCTGAGAAAAACAGTCATCTGCTCCAGATACCTCTTTATCTCCCTCCCTTACCCACAAAAATAAAACAGGACAAATGCATCTAAGGGGAAAACTGATGTCACCTTCAACTTCTGTCCTTCTCGTCAAAAATGAACTATAATACATAGCTCAAGCCCAAGATCCCTCCTTTAGTACTTCTGTTCAGGGACTGCAAGTCCCCAACATGAGTAGGCAGCCTGGAACCCAAGGTCTGCCCTCCCCATCTAATCATTCTACTTCCCTTATGATAATAACTGGCATAGTTTTCACTTTTATATGCATCACCTCATTTAAACATAAACAACTCTATATGACATAAGATATATTCATTTGAGACATGAAACGAAGAACCAGAATGGGTACAGTGCTTTTCCCAATACCAAACAGCTAGTAATTGGTAAGCCAGGATTTGAACTCAGTCCTACTCTTCTCGATGTCCTTCTCCCAGGACTCAGGTGTCATTGCCTTCCCAGATTCCTATACTGCCTCCCACCAGAAACAATGATGCTAGTGACATGGAGGAGGAGGGAGAGAAGCCAAAAGGGAGCATCTAGTTAGAAATGGCCAAACCAAGTAAACCAGTAACCTGTTTAACTAACATATAAACTGGTTTAATTTAACCAATTAACCTTGTAGCCAATGACCAACCCCAACACTTACCAGCTGTATGTACCCTCTGAGAGGCTCTCCTTCCTGCTCCAGGGGAAGGGAGTTAGAGAACAAAAGAGCACAAAATGACTCCTCAAAGAAGGCCATGTTGAACTCTGCGTCATCTCTATGCTGTGGCTTCACCCTCTGCTCCAACTCTTACCTAACATCTTCCATGAGTTGTTCCATGTCCAGGTCACTGGAGGCTTCATTGTCAGGGGGTACACAACCAACTTCCTGAGACAGTGGCTCCTGAGATCCAGATCCTTCTGTCCTCACCGTGGGACAGGCCCCACAATAAGATGGTCCTTTGGCACCATTCTAGCCTCTTTTTCCTGACTTTTTTGCTGAGGACGTGATTGTCCACATAGAAAATTTGAAAGAATTGATACACACACACAAAAATACCCTCATGGAACTATTAAATGATTATAGCAAGGTTTCAGGATACAAGATTAATATATAAAAGTGTATTGATTTCTTACATACCAACAATGAACAAGTAGAATTTGAAATTTAAAGCATAATACCTGTAACGACAGAAAAAGGCCTTTCTTTTTCTTTGCTGTGGCTTTCCACAATTTATGAGAAGCACCTGGTAATTAAACCCCAAGATTGTTGGCTCCTCTGACTCAAACATCCCCCCTGTTCAAACTGTGGAACAAGATAAGCTTCTCTTGACAAGATCCAACACGGTGGCAGACTGAGTGGAAGCTACACTGATGCTCTCCCAGGACCAAACTGGAATTACAACCAAAATATAGAAAAACCACACTGAATAATCAACTGCAACTAAAGACTAGCTGGGGAGCCCCCTCATAACTAAGGACAAAAAGTGGAGACTGGTAGGCAGTGTGGAGGTACAAGAGGGCTGTCTGGGCTCCCACAGGCAGCAGCTGAAGGGCTGGAGGGATATCTCAGCTGTTGGGGGTTCCCGCTGAGAACTCTGGGGTCTAAACCCCAAGCTGGGGTACCCAGCCTAGAGCACCAGAACTGAGAAAGGCACCCACGTAACATCTGGCTGCGAAAAGCAGCTGGGTTTCTGTCTGCCAAGGAGAGATGGCTGGAAAGCAGGCACCCACTTAAAGGGCCAACGCACAAAGTTTCTTGTGCAGCCACTCACCTTGGACTCTGGCAGAGGGAAGGCAGAGTGGACTAGAGCAGTGTGAGGAGAATGGCGGGGGGAGCTGGCTGGGGGAATAGATCTCAGAGGGCACCCATCTGGACTCTGGTGCTGAGTCATTCCCCCATATGGCTGAGGACATCTTTCTCAAGCAGACATTTACCTTAAAGCAGCCTTGGAAGGGGGGAGCAGTTGCCCCACCCTGCTGGAAAACCTCTGGCCCCACCACATGGAGTTTCTACAGCCTGAGGCTCATTAAGAGACTGAATAACAGCCTCTGGGTGCTTTGAGTCTTTGCCTGATTTTCTTCTGGACCCAGGGCTTGGAAAAGCAGACCTTGGTGCACATCTTGGTCCTGTCCAAACACACACAGGCCCAGTAGAGGAAACCAAAAGCTGTGGAGTGTGAAAAACTTCAAACAGGGTACTCAAGGCCAGTCACAAACAGCATCTGACATTGGCCTGCACCAGAGACCATACAAAAGACTGGGAGTCCTAGCAGATCTACCTAATACATAGAAACAAATCCAAACAGGCAGCCAAAATGGGAAGACACAAAAATAAGCCCCAAATGAAAGAACAATTCTCCAGAAGAAGAGCTAAATAAAATAGAGATAAGCAATCTATCAGATATGGAGTTCAGAATACTGATCAAAAAAATGCTCAACAACATGAAAAAATATATCAAAACTATGAAGAAAATTAAGAATGACATAGTAAAAATTAGAAAAAAAAATTGGAAAGAATGAACAGCAGATTGGGGGAAGTTGAGGATCGCATCAGCAAATTAGAAGACAGGGTAGAAAAAAATCACTCAGTCAGAGAACCAAAAAGAAAAACCAATTCAAAAACAGGACAGTTTAAGGGAGCTGTGTGTGGAACAACATGAAACGGAACAACATTCACATCATAGGAGGGCCATTACCACAGTGTTTTCTGTACCTGTGGGTTATGCATATGTAGCCTTTGGCTAATCCCTTCATCTTCTTTCATCCAGTTCCCCCTTCCCCACTCCTCTCTGACAGCTGTCAGTCTGTTCCATGTATCCATGCCTCTGTTTCTATTTTGTTCATCAACTTATTTTGTTCATTAGATTCCACAAGTGAGATCATGTGGTACTTGTCTTTCTCTGATGGCTTATTTCAGTATTAACATAATACTCTCCAGGTCCATCTATGCTGTTGCAAAAGGTAAGTGTTACATGGGCCAGGTACAGAAACCCAGGTACTGAAACTCATCAGGGCAGGAAGCTCCAAATGCCTAGCAAGGGTCAAAACTGGGAAAATAAGAACCTTGTCCCCAGGGTTTCCTTATCCTTGCCTAGCATATTGCTGGTCATGTGGTTTAGACGCCCTGAGCATTTCCTTCCTAAAGATAACATCTAGGCCTCAGTTGTATTTCAGCTCCAGGCCCAGAAAAGCAGTGAAACCAGACAAGTGGCGCCATGGCTGCCTCAGAACCAGATACATTGATTAATGACCCCCTACTCTGGCAGCAACCAATCAGTGGAGACTACCACCCCAGATGTATATTCTACTAAGACTTAGGTGCACACCTGATATATATTCCATTAAGACCCTCCCCTGAGACTTCCACCTGCACAAAAGAGATAAATACGCTCATAACATAGGACCTAGCACGTGCTCCCCACACACCAGCACCATCTCCATCCCACTTCTTTATTCCAAGGGGACCCCATGAGACTTGCAACCAGGGGAGCAATGGGCAGTGGCAGCTTGTCCCAAATTTTACCCCTGAACCTGTCTCCAGGGGTGCCTTCCCTCTCTGACTTCTCAGGGAGGCTCTCCTGTTACTTCTTCTATGCTCTTCCTGTTTCACTGTCCCAAATTTATTTTTGCTGCCATCATGGACCCAATACCCTTTGACTCAGTGCTGTATAGCCCTTCCCTTTGGATATCTCCATCCCATTTTAATAAATTTAATTTTTCTTTATTCACCCATCTAAGATGGCTATTTAGCCTGCCTGCGCACAACTAACCTTAACATTTCAGTAAGATTTCCTTCTTTTTATGGCCGCATAGTATTCTATTGTGTAAATATACCACAGCTTTTTTATTGACTCATCTACTGATGGACACTTGGGCTGTTTCCAAATCTTGGATATTGTAAATAATGCTGCTATGAACATAGGCATGCATATATTCTTTCTGATTAGTGTTTCAGGATTCTTCGGATATATTCCCAGAAGTGGGATCACTGGGTCATAAGGCAGCTCCATTTTTAATTTTCTGAGGAAACTCCATACTGCTTTCCATAGTGGCTGCACCAGTCTGCATTCCCACCAGCAGTGTACTAGGGTGCCCTTTTCTCCACACCCTCGCCAGCACTTGTTGTTTGTTGATTTATTGATGGTTGCCATTCTGACAGGTGTGAGGTGATACCTCATTGTGGTTTTAATTTGCATCTCTCTAATAATTAGTGACTTTGAGCATTTTTTTATGTCTATTGGCTGTTGCTGATCAATCTGTGGACTTAAAGAAGACATGGACATGGGAAATGTATTCGAGCTGAGAGCTTGAAGGCTCAAGGCCATCAGGACCAAGAGCCCCAAGACTCCTCAGCATATTTATTGAAGCTCCTAACAAAGCAAAGCTTGTGCGTTCCCTCCCTGCTGTTAATCATACCAAAATATTCTCTAAAAACTTTGTATCCACCAAACTTAGAATTACATTAACTGTTCCTTTTACGCAGATGGCCCCTTACCAGAACTGCAAGAATCGCCCCCCATCACGCTTCTCCCGGAACATTGTCAGCGCTGTTTGCAGTGCGAGCACAGAGTCTGTGTGTGCAAAGAACATCTGTGGTTCCTGGAAGCGATCCCCGGGAACCTCATCCGCACTCCTCAGGGGCCATCTTAAGGATTCTCCACAATTGGCCGTCCGTGTGTCCTCTTTGGAGAAGTGTCTATTCAGGTTTTTTGCTCATTTTTTAAATTGGATTGTCTCCCTGATGTTGAGTTGTATAAGTTCTTTATATATTTTGGAAATTAACTCCTTATCAGATGTATTACTGTCAAATGTGTTCTCCCATATAGTTGATGGGGTTTGTGTTTTCTTTTTTTAATATCTCTTTATTGATTTCAGAGAGAGGAAGTGAGAGGGAGAGAGATAGAAACATCAATGATAAGAGAGTCGTTCATCGGCTGCCTCCTGCAGGCCCCCGACTGGGGATCAAGCCCACAACCCTGGCATGTGCCCTGACCAGGAATTGAACCTCAATCTCCTGGATCTTAGGTCGATGCTCAACCACAGAGCCATGCCAGCTGGGCGGGTTGATGGTGGTTTTTTTTGCTATGCATCATTTTGTTGATTATTTCTTTTGCTGGGCAGAAGCTTTTTAGTTTGATGTAGTCCCATTTGTTTATTTTTTTCCTTTATTTCCCTTGACCTACAAAACATACCGGCAAAAATATTGCTGCAAGAGGTGTCTGAGATTTTACTGCCTGGCATTGCCTTTTTATTTATTTGTTTATTTATTTATTACTGGATTTGATTTGCTAATATTTTGTTTGGCATTTTTGAATCTTTATTCATGAGTGAATGTAGGACATAAATTATTTTTTCACATGGAGTCCTTGTCAAGTTTTGGTGACTGTAATGACAGCTTCATAAAATGACTTGAGTAATACTTCCTATTTTCTTTTTTTTACTTTAAACATGTCTTTATTGATTTCAGAGAGAGGAAGGGAGAGGGAGAAAGAGAGATAGAAACATCAATAAATGAGAGAGTCATTAATTACCTGCCTCCTGCACACTCCCCACTGGGAATCAAGCCCAAAACCAGGGTATGTGTCCTGACCGGGAATCGAACAGAGATCTCTTGGCTCATAGGTCGATGCCCAACTGCTGAGCCACGCTGGCCGAGCTATTTATTTATAATAAATCCTCACCCAAGGATATTTTTTCCATTGCTTTTCAGAGAGAGTAGAAAGGAGAGAGAAAGAGAGAGAGAAAAAAACATTGATATCAGAGAGACACATGGATTGGTTGCCTCCTGCACACACCCCAACCAGGGCTGGGAATGGAACCTGCAACTGAGGTATGTGCCCTTGGCCAGAATCAAACCTGGGACCATTCAGTCCATGGGCCTATACTCTAACCACTGAACCAAACCAGCTAGGGTCCTGGTGTTGCCTTTTTAGATACAACACCAAAGACGTGATCCATAAAAGAAATAATTGATAAACTGGACTTCGTTAAAATGCAAAACTTCTGTCCTACTAAAGACAATGTCAAGCCTGGCTGGGCATGGCTCAGCAGTTGAGCATCCACCTAGCGTTCAGGAAATCACAGTCAGTTCTATTCCCAGTCAGGGCACATGCCGGGGTTGCGGGCTCAATCCCCAGTCGGGGACGTGCAGAAGGCAGCCAATCAATGACTCTCTCATCATTGATGATTCTTTCTCTCTCTCCCTCTCTCTGAAATCAATAAAAATATATTTAAAAAAAACAGTTTAAAAAAAAAGACAATGACAAGAGAATTAAAAGACAAGTGACAGACTGGGAGAAAATATTTGCAAAAGACACATCTAATAAAGCAACTTATCTAAAATATACAAAAACTCTTAAAACTCAACAATAAGAAAACCATCCAATTTAAAAAATGGGCCAAAGACCTTAACAGACACCTCACAAAGAAGATATGCAGATGGCAAATAAGCATGAAATGATGCTCCACATCATATGTCATCAGGGAAATGCAAATTAAAACAACAATGAGAAGGCTATATACTATTTTATTCCAACTGTATAACATTCTGGAAAAGGCAATACAATGGAGACAATAAAAAGATTACTGGTTGCCAGAGNAGGCTATATACTACTTTATTCCAACTGTATAACATTCTGGAAAAGGCAATACAATGGAGACAATAAAAAGATTACTGGTTGCCAGAGGGAAGGGGTGGCGGTGAACAGACATGAATAGGCAGAGCACAGAGGATTTTTAGGGCAGTGCAAATACTTCATATGATATTACAATGGATATATATCATTATACATTTGTCCAAACCAATAGAATGCACAACACCAAGAGTGAACCTTAGGGCAAACTATAGTCTTTGGGTAATTATGATATGTCAATATAGATTTATCCTTGGTTTAAAAAAAAAAAAGTACCATCCATGTTGTCACAAATGGAAGGATTTTCTTTTTTAAGACTGAGTAATATTCCTGTGGGTGTTTATATGTATGTACAGACACATATATTTTATTTAGCCATTTATATATCAGTAGACACCTAGGTTGTTTCCATACCTTGGATATTCTGCATAATGCTGCAGTGAGCATCAGAGTGCAGTTATCTCTTGAGATACTGATTTCAATTCCTTTGGATATATTCCCAGAAGTGGGATTATTGAGTCATATGGTAGTCCTATTTTTATTTTTTGAGGAACTTCCATACTGTTTTCCATAACGGCTGTACCAATTTACTTTCCCACTAACAATGTGCAAGGATTCTCTTTTCTCCACACCCTTGTGAGCACCTGTTATCTCTTGTCTTTTTGATAAAAGGCATCTTAGTAGGTGTGAAGTGATAGATCATTGTGGTTTTGATTTACATTTTCCTGATTATTAGTGATGTTGAGCATCTTTTCATATATCTGTTAGCCATTTGTATGCCTTCTTTGGAAAAATGTCTATTCACATTACTTGCCAATTTTTAAATTGGGTTTTTTGGCTTTTTTGCTATTGAATTGTATGAGTTCCTTATTTTTTTTGAATATTAAATGCTTATCGGATATATGGTTTGCAAGTACTTTCTGCCATTTCATACATTACGTCTTCATTCTGACTTGCTATGCAGAAACTTTTTGGTTTGATGTAATTCCATTTATTTATGTTTGCTTTTATTGCCTTTGCTTTTGGTGTCATATCCAAAAAATCATGACCAAGATCAATGTCAGAGGGCTTTGTCCCTATGTTTTCTTTTAGGAGTTTTATGGTTTTTAAGCCTTTAATTCATTTTGAATTAATTTTTGTGTATGGTTTACGGTAAGGGCCCAATTTCATTCTTTTGCATGTGGACATTCAGTTTTCCCAACATTATGTGGTTTTCCATAAAATTGATTACTATACATGGGAAAATGAATTACAGCTACCTGCAATATATGAATAAATCTCAGGATCATAATATTGAGTGAAAAAAAGCAAGTTGTAGAAGAGTATTTACAATATGATTTATTTATATGAAGTTCAAGAACATACAAAAACAATCCTTGTGTAGTAATGCAATTATGGTAACACTACAAAAAATGTCAAGGAAATGTTAAACACCCCATTCAAAATAGTGGTTGCCTTTGAAAGGCCAGGAAAAGAATGGGATTAGAGAAAAACAAGGAGACTTCAAAGCAATGGCAGTGTATCTTCCTTAAACTGGGTGCTGAGGACACAGGTGTTTGTTGCATTATTGTTCTTTGTACCTTTTATTTTTATATATTTATTTTCTAATTTTCTCTTGATTTTAGACAGAGAGGAAGGGAGAGGGAAAGAGAGAAACATCTATCAGTTGCCCCCAGTATGCACCCCGACTGGGGACCAAACCCACAACCTGGGCATGTACCCTGACCTGGAATCCAACCAGCGACCTTTCGTTGCACCGAACGACACTCAACCAGCTTAGCCACACTGGCCAGGGTGCACCTTTATTTTTGAAATGTTCTCATGACCAATGAATATTTGTCACAAAAAAATTGTTTAGACTGTTTAAGGAGCATGAGGAGAAAGAGGAGCCCTTAAAGGGGACTGGGAGGGAAGTAGACATTAAGGGAAGAACAGAGCAGTGTGTGGTCAAGAAATCCAAGGAAGAGGGTGTGGATTGCAAATTTCAAGAAATGAATATCGCCCAGCTGGGCGTGGCTCAGCGGTTGAGCATCGACCTAGGATCCAGGAGACTGAGATTCAATTCCCAGTCAGGGCACATGTCCAAGTTAGGGGCTCGATCCCCAGTGGGGAGGGGGCAAGCGCGCAGGAGGGAGCCGATCAATGACAACTCTCTCATCATTGATGTTTCTCTCTCTCTCTCTCCCTCTCCCTTCCTCTCTCTGAAATCAATAAAGATATTTAAAGAAAAGAAAGAAAAGAGAAGAGAAAAGAGAAAGAAGGAAAAAAAGAAGGAAAGAAGAAGAGAGGAGAGGAGAGGAGAGGAGAGGAGAAGAGAAGAGAAGAGAAGAGAAGAGAAGAGAAGAGAAGAGAAGAGAAGAGAAGAGAAGAGAAGAGAAGAGAAGAGAAGAGAAGAGAAGAGAAAGAAAAGAGAAGAACACAAAAGAAAGAAAAGAAAAGAAAAGAAAAGAAAAGAAAAGAAAAGAAAAGAAAAGAAAAAAGAAAAGAAAAGAAAAGAGAAAATCAAGTGTTTCTGGATGGTAAAGTAAAATGAGCACTAAGTGTCTTTTGGATTTGTTGATTATGACATTCATGAGCAATGTCACCCAGAACCATTTTAGTGGAGTGGTTAGAGTGGAAGCCAGACTGAGTGAGACAGTAAAAGGAAACTTATGAAAAGGAATCAGCAAGGATATAAAGGAAATGTCTGGTAGGGGTGGGCAAGGGACTGCTCCATTTCTGGAGGTGAGTCTGGGTGCAAATGCTGTGGAGTTCTCAGGTAAGGCGTCCTGAAGCAGAGATAGCTGGATGATGGTCTTTGCTTTCTCTGTGAGTAAGTGCTGCCCCCTTCTGGGAGTGAGGAGGGAATGGTGCAGTGTGATTAGCAGCGGCTTCCAGGAATGGCAGTATAAAAGGACTTACCAAACACTGAAAATGACAACTTTTAGCATTACCAATTCATGCACACACCCATCGTAGTAGATTACAACAACAAATGGCCACAAATTCTTTGTAACTTCTTCTATCAAGAGGTGGAGGGTATTTTCTCATCCCTGAATCTGGACTTGCCTTATGACTTGCTTTGAAGGTGATATAAGCAATATTGTGCAATCTCTGAACCTGGACCTCAATTGCAAGTGGCCTTGCAGCTTCTGCCCTAGCACTGGGAATCCCTCTGCCACCATATGAACAAGCCAAAGCTAGCTATTGTAGATTGAGAAACCACGTAGAGAGAAGCCCAGCCATCCCACCAATTCCAGCTGAGGCACCGTGATGGGAGATGAGGCCATCCTGGATCACTTCCAGATGAACCACAGAATTGTAAGAAATAATCTTTGTTCGTGGCTTTAAGCCACTACTTTTTGGGGTGGTTTGTTGTACATTAAAAGCGAATTCACTCATTCTTTAGATGATTTTTAAAGCCTATTCATAACTGTCTGGTTGTTTCCAGTCATTATGCTTTTGTCTGAGTTTTCATGCCCTCCTTGAGCCTTATAGAATGTAAACTCAAGAAAAAAATCTCTCTCCAAACAAGCTCTTGTTTTCTATTACTACAAAAGAAAAAATACAAAACCCAGTGTGTGTGTGTGTGTGTGTGTGTGTGTGTGTGTGTTGCTAGGAAGTTTAGAGCCAAAACAGTGTTCAGTATCTGGAAGTATCCTGATAAAATTTTCAAGTTCCTGATAAAATTATCTTCACCTTCTACCTGGTTTCTAACTTCTTTTTAACCTTTATGTTAATTATACTGTATTATATACATATATCTATAGTAGCCACTTGGAATCCTTTTTGAAAATAGACACATTTAAAATTATGAATAATCTCCTACCTAAACTCAAGCTTTTAGTCCTCAGCATGTCTTCATTCTTATCACAGTCATTTGTCTCTCCAGTAATGTGACAAGCAATGCTCTCCTTCAGGGCCTTTCTCTGATCCAGAGCCAGATAGCAGCCAAGAGAAGGAGCAGCTTGAGTGAGTCCATCTGGAATGGTCTGGAGTAGAGGGCTAGCTGACCTAGAGGGTTATGTCCATAGCTGGGATTAGCCTCTCCCTAGAGTAGTTAAGGGATGGCCATTGGAGTCTAGAAGCCTTCATTCACATGCTTGTACTAACATTTATGAACTCACTTCATTTAATTTCCCTATCTATTTTAAGAGGATGGTTATAGTTCACGCACGTGGCACAGAGTAAACACTCAAAAAATGTTAGCTTTTTACTAGTTAGCCTATTATATTTTTCTTCTTCCCTTGACCCCCATATCACCCTGGGCTTCTGGCCACCAAACTCTCTGGCATCTACCACTGAGATATGAAACACCTTGGTGTCCTATTCCAGCTGTTCCTTCTGCACTGTTGATAGCATCCTGGGCTGCCTAGCTGGCCATGTCATCCACATGATGGACTCCATCGTATGGCAGTGAAGAGTATCTGAGTGTCACTGCCGTGAGTGGCCGTGACAGGAGACAACAGGACACCTGAAGCCTCATAAAGAAAGAGGTGATTAGGGAGGGCTTTGAGAGATACCCCTTTGTTTGCATAAGTGGACATGATGCTGGAACTTCTCAGAGGATGGGCAGGGACAGATACCTAAATCCTGGACAAGGAGTCAGAGCTGGGCAACAGGTAACAGATACCCAGGTAGATCAGAAAAATAGCATGTATTTATTTAACGGCACTTATAGAAAAACACTGAGCTCTGGCACATTCAGAGAAGTGTCTTGCATAGTTTCTGCTCTTACCGGGAACAATGGAGAGAGGACATTTCCAGAAAAATGACCAAAGCCAGGCATACCGAAGTTTCTGTAGATGAGCTGAGCTGAGCCTGGATAGTGGAGAAGACAGGGAAGACAGCAGGGAGAGAACAGAATCAAAGTCCTACAGGAGAAAAAGGGGTTGCGGGCTTGTCTGGAAGGAAGTAGGCAGTCCAGCCAAACTGGAGCAGACTTTGACTTGGAAAGAATCAGGAGAGAAAGTTTGGGTTATTCTGCAGGTAATGTGGAGCCACTGAGTTTTTATGAGTAGAAGAATCTAATCATATAGGTCAAGTGTTCCTGAGAGTTTTCACAAAAAGCAAGCTTGAAAGGAACTTCTAAGAGTACACTCTGGGCCCAACTTCCTAATATTTTAAGCACTGCTTTCCCTGTTATCAACCCTCTCTCCACACCATCCTCACTGCCTCTAATAAATCATTTCCACCAGTGTTTTTATCAATTCAGAACTCCTCTTGCTGCAAGCAACTGAAAACAGTCAAAGAAGCTTAGGCAGGAAAGGAGTTGATTAGCCAGCCCAGGTGAATGATGAGTTAGGCAGTGGGTTTGACTTTCAGTGCTCAAACTTGTCATCAGGTCTGTTTCTCTTAACTGCTCACTTCGGCCCCTACTGTTTAGCTTCATTCTCAGTCTCCATTTGGTGGCCCCAGCAGCAGTGAGCTGTCTGGACAAGCAGCAAGATGATCCACCCTCCCATGTCAGTCTTGTAGGAAAAAAACTAGACTCTCTTCCACTAGCCCTAGCAAAAACCCTAAGATTACCAAGACTGGACTAGGTTAGGTGACCTGTCCATCCTAGAGACAATCAGTGTGGCCAAAGAGATGTGTTGTCCCTGAACAACCAGGCTTGAGTAATAAGCAGAATACCTATGTTCTGGAAAGTGAGTCAGGATTGGAATTTATGCTTATACAAGGTAGGAGTACATAGCTCTAAATAAACCAATTTCCCTCTCTTGTCCTCCCCACAGCCCTGAAACCAGTGGATCTACCTACATGCCACATATCAGACCAGGCTCCTGATGGCTATGGAGACCACTCAGGGCATAGTGCTGCATTGGCAGGCCCACAGCTGGCCCCTACACACCCTTTGCACACCAGTGGCCTCTCTGTTCTCCATGGTCCAGAACCTGGCCAGGGGCCCCCACACCGTGGTAGTGCTGGGTCTACTTTACCACCTTCTCTGTGTCCATCTTTATCTGATGACTGATAGGGATCGGGGCAGCTGTGGTTGCACTCTTGTGGTCATCAAGTTGGTCAACACTGCTATAAGTCCATGTATGGCAGTGACTGGTTCACTCTCGAGGTGAACCAGCTCCTCTGAGTTGCCTTTGCTGACCTCTGTGTGGCCTTTGTGGATGCCTGGGAAATTACCTCCAGCCTGGCCCTGCCCAACAGCATCCACCCAGGGAGGCTCATCATCCACAAGGTGGACTTTCTCCTCTCCTTCATCTGCCACATCTAAGCACTCTGCCGTTCCTAGAGCTGTGTGGATAGAGGGCATGGGGAACGGGACAGTTGTGAAGAGGACCACAGCCATAATAGGACTTCTGGAATACGGGCCAGGTGTCATCAACTTCTCTCACCTGGAAGACTGCAATAGCTTCCCAGCCACAGCCAATTCAATTCTTGCTCCACTCCAACCCCTTCTCCATTCAGAACAAGAGTGATTGTTTTAAAACATAAATGAGACCATTGAGTAGGTCATTGGCCTACTCAAAAGGCAAAGGCTTCAACCTCAGTAAAAATCCAAACCTGCCACCATGGTCTACAGGGCCCTGCATAATGGTCCTGCCTAACTCTGCAGCTTCATTTATTGCCACTCTTCCAACAATGGATTCTTGCTGTTCAAGCAGGTAAAGCTGTCCTGCCTCAGGGCTTTTATATCTGCTGTCCCAGGGACTGGAATGCTCCTCTTCCAGATCCTCCTATGGCCAGCTTTCTCCTCATTCAGTTCTCTGATCAAACATTATCTCCTCAGAGGCTTTCCCTAACCACCCTCTCACCCCAGCACTTTATCCCCTTCTCAGCCTGTTTTTTCTCATATCACTAACCACAACCTGTAGCTATTTGGTTTACTACTATTACTGTTGTTGTTGTTTACTTGTCTGTCTCTATAGAATAATATCCATAAGGGCCAGGGAGTTTGTCTAACTTGCCCACTGTTGTATCCCGGTACTTGAGACAAAGCAGGAGTTAAATAACTATTCAGTGAATAAAATTAATGAATGAATTAAAGTCATATGATTGTGGTGTTACTTCTGTGCCCTGCACCTTCTCTCAGTAACCTGCATCTCATGAGAAATAAGCAATTGACCAAAAGGTATCCCCGTTTGCTGTTGATTACATTTGCATGACTGTCACACATATTAATGCTTCACATTTACATTAAGGCAGTATGATTTTCAATGTACTTTCCTATTTTTATTTGGGACAACTCTCCCAAGAACATTCTCCCACTTTACTAAGGAAGCCCCCAGAGGTGGCACACAGCTGATCCATCCTTGGTCCTAGTTTGGTTGCAAAAATAGTGATATTGGTGACAGCAGTGGCAGAAACACTCTGTCCTCGCTGGAAAACCAGCCTTCTGGAAGGGCTGGAAGTGACCACTCGGACTCCTCGGACTCTGGCTGACTGGGTCCTCTCCGTATCTAGATGTCAGTTTCTTGGCTGGATGGTTGGGTGGGAGGGCTTCCCTGACAGGAGTCCTGTCTCTCCCAGGGCTTATCGGTGCATTGTCTGATCCATGTTTCCCACGGGACCTTGCCGGCTGTTCCCTGGATCCTTTGTCTCTAGATTCCAGGTTTCCCTGACCACCCGGAAGGGAGCTCCGTGACCAGGCACGACCACATCTGCAGTGCCTAGGACCCTCTTCCGGCTCCGTTCCTGAGCCACCGGGTCTTCACTCAAGGCCTGCCACGAGTCCCCGTCCCCATCGCGTTCAAACACATCGCCCACCACCATTACGGTGCCCATGGCCGTGCCCGCCACCACCACGCTCACGTCCCGCTGGCCCCCATGGCCAGGGGTGGCCCACACCTCGAGCCCGGGCCCCAGCCACAGGGGCCTCTCCTCCCCCAGCCCGTGGGAGAGGTAGAGGCCCCCGGGGAGGCAGAAGTCATGCGAGACCAACAGAGCCGCTCCTGGAAACAGCCCGAGGTTCCCGATATGATCTGAGTGTCCGTGGGTCCCCACCACCAGAGTCACGTCTACAGGGGCCACACCCTGCCCCGCCAAGGCCCCCAGGAGCATCTCCCGAGCCCAGGGACCTCCGGTGTCCACGAGGATGGGGCCACGGGCTGCCTCTTCCAGGGCGGTCTTCGCCTCGCCGCCCTCAGGTGGGGGCTCTCGGGGGCTGGAGGCCGGGCCCCAGGCCCGGGGCAGTATGAGGGTCACGGAGCCATCAGCGCGCACTGCGCCGCCAACCCCCTCGGGCTCCGCGTAGCCCTGCAGCAGAACCACCACCGAGTACGGGTCGCCAGGCACCCGCAGAGGGGGTTCTCCGGGCAGAGGCTCGGTCCGCACTGCACTGCTCATGGCCAGAGGAAGAAAGGGGAACTATGGATCACTGTCCAGTCCCCTCACGTCCCCAACGCGCCCGATCCTCCACTAAGTGGCACCTCCAAGTCTCAGTTCTTTGCCACCCCCTCACTCTCACAATGGTGTCGCCCTCCACCCCCTTCCGAAGATGGTATCGCCCAACCTTTTCTTCCACTTGAAGCCGCGGGTCCTTCAGTCTTCGGCCCCCGCCTTGCAACTCTTGCGTAGTAGGTCCTCGCTCATCACCCTCCCAAGATGTCCTTTTTAGTTCCCTCACAATAACCTAAGCCGCGCTTTACCTTGGGCCCAGTTCCACGCCTCTTAGGTCTTGCCTCATTCTGAGGAAAGAACGGAAATCGGAAAGACGCGAAGGATTTTGTCCTCTGCGAGCTCCCATAAGCCCAAGTATGGCGGCCGAGGGGAGCCGCGCTCGGAATTTTATCCCGGCGCTTCCCCGGCGTGCGTGAGCACGGGCTGCACAAATCCAAGTCTCAATACTGTCCTCAGCCCGGGTATCCCTGCCAACCTCCTAGGGCTGGAACATTACAAAGCACCATTAGCTCCCAGGACGGCAGCCAACGGCCCTATTCCCTGGGCGGGGCGCTGCCACATCAGCCGGCTGTGATGTGTGCATGGCAGTTGCTTGAAACTGATCACAGCTGATACTTTTTTTTTTAAACTCACGATATAGAAAACTTGAGACCTGTGAAATTATGTGGTGGCCATCGGTTAGATTAATATGAAGTGGACCAAGTACCCCGCCTAAATTTATCAACCCCATCCCGTGTCCCCTCTTCAGTTTGTTGGCATGTAGCCTGGACCCAGGCGGTGTATATAAGTCGCAGAGAAGGTCCTTCTGGCTTCTTCCTTGTAAGGGTCTGAAAAAGGCAAAGTGAGCTTCCCAAGGCCCACAACTCCTTTGCCACTGCTGACCTCTGGGTGGGATTGGGAGTAACAGATATTTAAAGGGGGAAAGCCTTCAATATTGTCTCCACATACACATACAATTAAGGGGGCTAGATGGCAGGCAGAGGGCTCATCTGTTGGGGCAGGGCTTCCACCTACTGCTCACACCTTTCTCCCCATAGCTATGCCATGCTGTACCATCAGGATCCTTCCTGAGACCAGACGGCAGAGAACAACTACAAGCTCTGGGGTGGGTCACTCACACATATACACACACACACCCTTAAAGCTGTGGGGCAGGGAGAGCTCAGACTTCAAAGTGTTCTTCTCCATGACCCCTACCCTTCCTGGGGGCTCAAAAGCAAGGGTCAAAGATCTTCTGGGTCATGCCTGGGGCGGCCTGGTGTGCTAATCATCTCTTCTTCCTTTTCCTTCTCCTCTTCCTCTTGATCTTGCTCCTCCTCTTCTGTCTTCTCTTGCCCATCTGTGATTTCCTTTCCAGTCCAAGTTTCCTGTAGACATGCTAAGTTGGGTGATAGAAAACAAATTAGATATTGGTCGTGGGGGTACAGGATGTTGTGGCCTGGCAGGAAAGGGGCCAGCCCACACACTTACCAGTTTCAGCAGCTGGGAGCACATGACCTTCACAAAGAAAATGTTGCAGGGGCTGCTCCTGATGGTGGAAGTACCAGTCTTCCACGACTTCTTCAAACTCCTCCAGCATTTTCTCACACTGGTCAAGTGGAAGGGTCAGAAGCATATCTGCTCTGTTGAGCTTTGGAAACCTTCCTCGTTGCTCTTTACTACCTGTCTCCCCAACCCACCTTGGAGAAGCAGGTATCCAGGAGGTTAAACTTGGCTTACTAGATGTGTGATCCTCATTCAATCAACAAACATTAACACAAACTCTACCAAGTAGGTTATTAAACTCTAAGTCTCAGCTCCTTGCCTATAAGGTGGGAAATGGTAATTAGGTTGTTGTGAGAGTAAAAATAAGGCAGCAGCTGAAATGTATGTGGCCCCAAATTTGCACATAGTTAGTACTTAGTAATTGGTAATGCATATTATTAGCCTCCATTATTACTTCTTGATATGCTCCTGGCTACATCAATCAATGACAGTCCTCACTCTGCCCCCTTCTCCCTGCTCAGAGGTTGACCTCCCTAAGATCTAGCTCCCCTTTCAGGTTCCCTTCTCACCTCCCTGGGCTGTATTCTATCCTACCTGCTTCTTGAGGAATGTGACCTCCACGCTGGGCTCATCCCACAGCTCCAGAGGGATCCCCAGATCCACTTTCACCCCCTTCTGCACCAGGCCTTTCAGCGTTGCCATGGTCTGACTCTGCCCCTGAGAGATGGGAATCTGGAATCAGCCCAGCCCACTACCCCACTTCTTCCTTCCCCTTTCTACCATATCAGCTTTGTTAACCACTGCAGTCTGAGGGGTGAGTTCCATGAGGGTGAAATGAGGGAGTCTAAAGATGAGGAGGGGACACTCAACTGCTGAAGAAGGTAGGCCCCAGAGGATATAGGTCTGAGAAGTGGGATCCTGCCTTGGGGAAGAGTCTCACCTTGGCATATCTCAGTGAGCCCTTGCGCTCAGCATGAACACTGTAATCCAGGATCTGCTCACATAAATTCTCCAAGGCCTCTTCTAGCCTTGTCTCTCTGCGGGGAAAGGGGAAACAAAGACTCCCTAAATATTATACAAGCTCCCAGGGCTCCTTTGGGGGTTGAAAGGTGGAGGAGCACCAAGAAGGACTCACGAAACGCTGTAAGGGATGTGTCTCTTTCTCTTGCCCGTGTCTAGCACCTGCCCCAGCTCCAGCACCTCTCGAGATCGGCCAGTACGACTCAGCTTTTCCTGTAGCTCCAGGCTTAGCAGCTTGCACACTAGATGTCCAAAGGGGCGTGAGAGACAAACAAACACACCAGCAACTCATTCTGCAGATGAGCAAAAGCAGCAGAGCCATGATGGTTACAAGTGCAGACTCTGGAGGCAGCCTGATTTATAATCCTGACTCAGCCACTTACTAGCTGTGTAACAATCCTGCTGTACCTTGGTTTCTTCGCCTCTAAAATGGAGATAATAATAGTACCTCCTCTTAGGGGTGTGGTGAGGATTAAAAAAATCAATCCATGTAAAGCCCTTAGAATAGTGCCTGCACATAGTGAGCAGTGTATAAGTCTTTGCTGTTGTTCTGCAGTTATTGAGCTCCTTCTGGATGCACAAGAGCAATAGAGAGCAATAAGATCCACCATCCCTATCCATGAAACATTGCCAATGTAGTTGGGGACAAAAAAAAAGATGGCAGTATGGTGTGATGGATCCTACACTAGGGGTTAAGACCAAGAGACTTAATCTCATTAGGAAATGCAAAATTCACTCAATGGTTAAGTATTGCCTTCCTGCTAGCCTGGGATTTCCGTAAGGGTGAGCACTGCATCTGTTCCACCACTGTCTTTCCAGCACCTACCATGTGACCTGGCACTTTATAGGTCCCAAGAAAGGGAGTGGCCTATACAGAAATGCCAAGTGAACTAAACACAGGGGCAAGTAACAAAAGTGCCTAAAATGTGCCAGGTACTACTCTAAGACCTGGGAGACACAGGTACTCTCTTTTCCTCCAAGGGCTTACAATACAGTGGGAGGTGACAAAAAGAAGACTTCCAAAGGAGGTGACATTTAAACTGGATCTTGGAGAACCACATACAGAAGGGAGAGGGTTATTCCAGGCAACAGGGAAAACAGGTGTGAAAGGATAAGGTAGGCTCACTGGCTGCTGAGTTCAGTGTGACTTCAGCATGGGCACTTTGGGGATGGGAGTTGGGTTATGGAAATGAAAGAAGGGGGGGGGGGGGCA